AAAAAAAAAAAAAGGCAGGCAAAGGAAGGGGGAAGATTTTGAAAAGTATATGTTTAGTAGATAATGAAGAGACAGGGGAAGGGGTCTAGAAAAAAAGGAAAAGAGAAGACGAGACTAAACATAAGACCTGACTTTGGGTCTCAGCAATTTTTTTGAAGTCATCTTGTATAACCTCTTCTTCATACCTGTGAGAAAACCTAAGATAACTGATTTAACTTGCCCAAAGTCACACAGCTCTTAGTATTAGAATCAAGGCTTCAGCCCAACACAACTGTACTTTCCACTACACCATGCAGAAATGACATAGAAAAAAAAAGAAAGAGGAAAGCATAAAACAAAGGATGAGTAGTCTTCTCCCTGCGTTGATCATCTCATCTTGGTCAATAGTTTATGATACTGACTTTTGAGTAGGTGACCTAACCCAGACTGGAACAGAAAGGAGTGTCTTAGAACTTGACATCTGATAATTTCCTCAGAAAGGCCCAACAGGACTGTGTCAAAGGTCATCCCTTTGGGGTTGAGGTCTTTTGGAATAAGACTTAATCTTCACACACAGTTACAGAGGTAGGAAAAGAAGACGTGAAATACTATCAACAGTGTTAATTGACCCAGTGTGGTGGACACACCTGTAATCTTGGCACTCTGCGGGGCTGAAGCAGGAGGATCCCTTGAGTTCAGAAAGGTAAGACAAGCCTGAGCAAGACCAAGACCCTGTCTCTACTGAAAAAAAAAAAAACCCAGGTGTTGTGGGCACCTGTAGTTCCAGTTACTCAGGAGGCTGAGAAAGGAGGATTGCTTGAACTCAGGAGTTTGAGGTTGATCACTCTAGCCTGGGCAACAGAGTGAGACTCTGCCCAGAAAAACAGTTATGTTAACTGTACCATTTATTTTGATTACTAGACCAAAACTCTGCAGAGTGGGGCAGGGGTATGAGGTAAAATTCGTGACCCTCAAATTAAAAATAACAGATAGTCACCTTTGAAAAGCTCTTAAGGTACTACTAACTATAATTAACTGAAATGTTAAATATGAAGGTTCAGTCTGGTAAGACACAAGTTTCTAATATCACTCATTTATTCAACAAATATTAACCATAATGCTGGGTATTGTTCTAGGTGCTGGAGATAGAGCAATGAATGAAAGAGATAAAATCTCTGCCCACCTGGATCTTAGAATTCAGTTTCAAGGCTCAGTGCCTGGAGCTCAGTGGCTAGGGCATCGGCCACATACACTTGGGCTGGCAGGTTTGAACCCAGCCGGGGCCTGCCAAACAACAATGACAACTACAACAAAAAAATAGCCAGGCATTGTGGCAGGCACCTATAGTCCCAACTACTTAGGAGGTTGAAGCAAGAGAATCAATTAAGCCCAAGAGTTTGAGTTTGCTGTAAGCTGTGATGCCACAGCACTCTACCAAGGGCAACATGGTAAGACTCTGTCTCAAAAAAAAAAAAAAAGAAAAAATTCAGTTTCAAGATTTCTTAAACAATTATATTGAACAGGCATAGTGACTCATCCCTGTAACCCTAGCACTGTGGGAGGCTAAGGCAGAAGGATTGCTTGAGCTTAAGAGTTTGAGACCAGCCTGAGCAAGAGTGAGACCCTGTCTCTACTAAAAGTTAAAAAAAAAAAAATTAGCTGGATGTTGTGGTGGGCGCTTATAGTCCCAGATACTTGGGAGGCTGAGGGAGGAGGATCACTTGCACTCAGGAGTTTGAGGTTGCTGTGAGCTAGGCTGATGTCATGGCACTCTAGCCTATAGTGGGACTCTGTCTCAAAATAAAAATTATATTGCCTCTTTCTAGGAAGACTTAGCCCTAAGAAGCCACTACTTACTGAAGCTATAGCTTGGCTTACTGAGGATAAGAGCCCTTGTTCACCCCTTGTCCTATCTCCATGAGTATTAATATCCTTGAATTAGCTTACCCCTTCCAGAGCCCTTTCTGAAATACTTGCCCAGGGGTTAAGAGTATCTCATCATTATTGGTAAATCCTCAAGTGCCTCTCTTTCAAAGGGTACAGGCATGGGAAATACAAAGAGATGTAAAAACTGCAAATAAGAGATGCTGTCATAAAGTGATGTAGGAGCTCAATAAAGGGCAAATGATAACTAACTTTCATTATTAGGTCAGACCCTGAAAGGACAGAAGAAAGTACTTCTGCCTAAATATTTTAACTAATCTCTTAGAGGGATGAAGAAATGCATAAAGAGTTCGTGAATCATTACATGGAGAGTTGCCTTCTAGAGCAGTAATCTCTAAACTAGGTTGGGCAAGATAATTCACCAGGCTGTAAGAAAAATATTTATATTAATCTAAAAATTACAGAAATTACACTTTATTAATGGTATAGCAATAAGCATATATTATTTATAGTTAATATATAACTTGAGTATAAAGAATATTCACATTTTTTCTGATGGTATAAAAATTTGGAAACCTAGCTGGGCATTGTGGTGGCTGCCTGTAGTCCCAGCTCCTCAGGAGGCCGAGTAAGAGATTCGTTCACTTGAACCCAAGAGTTTGAGGTTTCTGTGAGCTATGACACTACAGCACTCTACTGAGGGTTACAAAGTGAAACTTTGTCTCAAAAAAAAAATTGGAAACCATTGCTTCAGACTCTAAGCCCTACTTTCACAAAACCTTCAAAAGAACAGTAGAATAATGGAAAGAAGATATACACTGGACTCAGATAAACCTAGACTTAAATCTTAGCTTCTCAGAGTTTCAGTAACCTCCTATGTAAAATGGAAATAATGGTACTTATCACTTAGGCTTATTTTGAGGAATAAACCTAGGTGCCGTGGTACAAGGTCTGACATGAATATATGTGCTCAGTGAATGACAGTACATAGCCCTGTAAGCCTTCCAAAGCCACGAAATCCATGAGAACCAATCAGTGCCTAATAGCAATGAGGAGAGGATCATTTGTTCTCTTCTTTGTTGACAGAAGAGGGTAATATTGTGTAAGGTTGTTAATTTCACAAAAGCCAAAGAAGGAAGGGGCCAATATCTTTGGGTTCAAAGACAGAGCAGGTACACGTGCGTCCAGGCTTGTGCGAGGCATCTCTATCACATGCATTCTGCCTGAACTACTGCTGCTCCTACTGACCAGAAAGCTGGGGGTAGTTGTTTTTAAAATCCTTTTGCAAAATAAGCCCCGAGTTAACTTCTCTCCAACTTGGCAAAGCTCCTTCTCCCTCCACTTGTCTCCTTGAAAGCCTCAAAAGATGTACTACTCCCAGGATTCCTCATCAGAATCTGCCCTGCATACCATCAATAATTCAGACATAGTACCTGCTGGAGACAGAAAGGACTCCCTTGCATTTCAAGTCCAGAGAAGGGTCCCTGAAATCAACCTCGAAGATTTCCAATGTGCCATTTGTGCTAAAGGAGGCATCTAGCTGCTGGGCAGATGTTCCTAGGCACAAGAAAAGTCAGGAAGAGGCAGCACATGAACAATAAATATACATGGATTTAAGGGATAAAAGGGTTAAGGAGTAGAGAGGAAGAGGAAAGGACTGGGTACACTCTTTCTCAAAAGGTAATTCCAGGGCGGTGCCTGTGGCTCAAAGGAGTAGGGGCTGGCCCCATATACCAGAGGTGGTGGGTTCAAACCCGGCCCCAGCCAAAAACTGCCAAAAAAAAAGTAATTCCAAAGAAAGCAAGAAAGCATGAGGTGCCTAGACTCGAGCCAAAGTCCAAAGCTGCCCTCAACTACATAAAAACATCAAATGACATGGATATATGTGTTCATGCTATAAGCCAATCCCACCTTTCCATGATCTGAAAGCTTTTTCTGATATTCAGTGAAGAATTCTTGATCCTGGATTTCCCCTCAGCCTACATACTTCTAGTGAATCCTAATCCACAGTATCACCATACCTGTGGCCAGATGCACTGGGTACTGGCTGGCTGGGCTCCACACTTGAACAGCTGGCCGCTCAAGTTCCTTTAGCTTCATGGTCTGTCCTGTAGGTGGCAGAAAATTGGCATGGCCCTCAGCGCACTGCAAATAGAAACCAGCAAGCAAAATAGCCAGATCCAAGGGGCATCTACGGACGTGAGATCTTGTTTCTCTTTCTCCATCACGAGATGGGGCATTTCAGGGCAACACTGGATACAAATACACAGCCATCCGCAGATTTAAGGACAGTTCATTTACCCAATTACTGAAATCTAGTGCTTTAAATCCCCAAAGATATTCAACCACAGTGGTTGTCACAGGCCCAGTGGTGATAACTATCAAGACAAATAATGTCCCAGTGATTTTTGTCCTTTTCTTGGCCTTAGATATCCCCCATATGCTGATGACTTTCAAATGTATATCATCAATAAAAATCTCTCCTCTGAGTTTTAAGTTCTTATGTACAATCTTAATTAATATGTACACTTGGATACAGCAAAGATATATAAGCAGTCTCTCTAAAATAGAATTCTCTATTCTACCATGTCTTCCCTGCAAATCTCTTATTCTTCCTCTAGTTTTCTTTGTCTTGATGAATGGTATCCACCCAACTGTTCAACCCAGAAACATGAATCACCCCCCTGACCCCCATCCCAATATTTTTAGACAGAGTCTCACTCTGTCACTTAGGGTAGAGTGCCATGGCATCTTAGCTCACGGCAACCTCAAACTCTTGGGCTCAAGAGATCCTCTTGTCTCAGCCTCCCGAGTAGCTAGGACTATAGGCACCTACCACAATGCTTGGCTAGTTTTTCTATTTTTAGTAGAAATGGGATCTCACTCTTGCTCAGGGTGGTCTTGAACTTCTAGCTCAGTAGATTCACCTGACTCCACCTGCATCAGCCTCCCAGAGTGCTAGGGTTACAGGTGTGAGCCACCACCCCCAACCCCTCCTCCCCTTCTAATCTATCATTTAGTCTTCCTGATTTTACCCCCAAAATGCCTCTCAGTCTGTCTACTTTTTGCCATCTTCACTGCCACCGGCCTTTTTGAAGATAGTGGCATCTCTCACCTGAATTATTATAATTGTCTCCCTAAGGGTTGTCTTCATGCTACTCATGTCATTACCCAATCTATTCTCTACACAGCAGCAGGGGTGAACTTCTAAAATAAAAAAATAGGATTTTGGCATTCCATGCTTAAAATCTTTCGATGATTTTATCATACAGAATTAAATTCAAACACCTTAGCCTACTACCTTAGCTTCATCTTTTGCCACTTCCCCTCTTATTCATTGTGCAACAGCCATACTAGCCCATATTCATTTCCTGACTTTTTCCTACCTTCAAGCCTTTGCAAATGTTATTCCCTGTACTTTGAATGTTTGCCCCTTCACTCTCAGCATGACTGTCTCCTCATCACATCTTTTGGGGCTCAGCTTCTTACCTCCTTAAAGAGGTATACCACCCCATCAAAAACAGCCTCTAGTTTTTTCTTCCTGGTAATATATAATTACACATTTATTTACATTTATATTGTTGGTCTCTTCCACTAATATGTAAGCTCCATAAGAGCATGTCTGCTTTTATCACCATGTTATTAACTGGTACCCAAAAAATGCTCCATAAATATTTGTTAAATTCATTCAGAGATCCATTTCAACTCTGTGGTTTCCAATCTAGTTGTAATGCATATTCAAGGTCCCATCCCAACAGGCTAGCAGAAAAGTGGAAAGGTTTTTTTGTTGTTGTTGTTTGTTTTTAATTATGCTGAACCTCAGAGAGAAAACCTAGATCCTAACTTAGGACTTACTCTGACCTGCTTAAACAAGCCACAGTCAAATCAGCCTCACCTAAAAACCAGGAGATTGTATTTTTTTCTTCTGAGACAGTCTCACTATGTTGCCCTCGGTAGAGTGCCGTGGAGTCACAGGTCATAGCAACCTCAAACTCCTGGGCTTAAGGGATTCTCTTGCCTCAGCCTCCCAAGTAGCTGGGACTACAGGCACCCGCCACAATGCCCAACTATTTTTTCTTGCAGTTGTCATTGCTGTTTAGCAGGCTGGAGCTGGGTTTGAACCCACTAGGCTCGGTGTATGTGGTGGTGCCCTACCGTCTGAGTTATGAGTGCCACCCAGGAGATAGTGTTATTAATGAGATGTCAATAGAGTAGGTACAGAAACTGACAGGATACTAAGTAAAACACACACTACAAGATAAAAGGAGCCACATCACATGTTAGGGTAAGAAAAGTGAGATGTGTAGAACATGTGCAGAGAAAATACGAAAGCAAGCAAAGTAAATAAATGGGATATTGCATAAGAGGACATACTGTAACCATAACAAGGGTAGCTACAACTATCATAAGAACCATAACACAAACAACACAAGGCACATTACTCATTACAATTTGTCCCCCACTCCCGTGAGCTTTGGATGCTGCAACACATCAAGGTTACATCACAGAAGGTGAAAAACTGGCCAGGGTCACACCTGTAATTCTAGCACTTTGGGAAGCCAAGGCGGGAGAACTGCTTGAGCTCAGGAGTTGGAGACCAGTCTGAGCAAGAGCAAGACTCTTTGTTTACTAAAAATAGAAAAATTAGCCTAGCTTGGTGGCATACCCCTGTAGTCCCAGCTACTCCGGAGGCTGAGGCATGATTGCTTGACCCCAGGAGTTTGAGGTTACAGTGAGCCGTAATGATGCCACTGTATTCTAGCCCCAGGAACAGATAGAGACCCTGTCTCAAATAAAAAAAAAAAAAAATGGGAGGGTGGCTCTCTGGGCTTGGTGGCTCATGTCTGTAATGCAAGCATTCTGGGAGGCAGAGGAGAGTTCTTTGAGACCAGCCTGAACAAGACCAAACCTCATCTCTACTAAAAATAGAAAAACTAGCCAGGTGTGGTGGCATGCCTGTAGTCCCAGCTACCCAGGAGGCTGAGGCAAGAAAGTTTAAGGTTGCTGATTAAGCCAAGATTCCGAGGGAACTTCTAACACTTACGGATTTATGAGGTATGCTCTGATCAGCTGCACACTATACTATACGGTCACCAGTGCCACCTGCTGGTCACAGCCGTTTTCATGTTTCCGGGCAAAGATACCCTAAGAACAAAAGTAGAAGTGGCAATTAGCAACTATGCCTTTGATGTGCATATCTCATTTAACTCTCTCAAAGGTTCTAAGGTAAGCAGTATTAATAATATCCCTATTTTACGAAGACAACTAGCTAGGGTGGGATGTGAATCCCCAACGGCTTCCAAGGCCATTATGCTTTGAGCTCGTAAGTTTACTCTGGTCTAAACTAAACTCCAAAAATGTTTAAATCGCTGACAATCTAGGAATTGGAGAAATAGGCTCTTAATTCACTTCATTCAGCGACATCTGTTCTCAAAAGGGGACCCTGCTGTGGTCAAATTAGCGTGGGGGAGGGGCGAGAAGGGAGAGAGCAATGACCGTTCAACCAAGAGCACAACAGACTCTAGCTGCGGAAGAGGGCGCCAGATAGCCTAGGCAGTCTCTAGGGAGGACGGTCAGCGCAGGTCAGCACGGATTCTCTCCCGCCATCGCCAAGGCGCGCGCACCAAAGTCGGCAGTGACAGGCCTTTCCCACCAAGCCAAAATGCAGCGACTCAGGGCGGGCTTTGCTCCAGGTGCCCGTTCAAGGTGGGTGGGAGCCGAGGGGGCAGCACTGAAGAGAGACCCTTGTCGGGCAGGAGGACTTCTCCCCTGCAGGGCGGGGAGAGCTGAGCCTCGCGGAAGCCCCTGAAAGTTCCCGGGCCAGAGCCGGGAGAACGGACTGGATCCGCGGGCTGGGCAGACGGGCCTGAGTCTCCGCAGCCAGTAACCACGCCCCCCTCCCCGGCGCTCTCCGGAGGGCGGAGCACTCTGGGTCCCCGGCGCGGTTTCTGCGCTCGGGGACCCCAGACCCGAGGGGAAAACCAACCTGCGCGGAGGGCCCAGGTCAGGGGTCAGGTGGCCGGAGCCCGGCCTGTCAAAAGACTTATCAGCGCAGCCGGGCGCGGTGGACGGCGGCTGCAGAGGCCCAAAAATAGTCCGGGTCTGGCAGGACTCTGCCGCTCACGCCTTCCCCGGAGCGCCGAACTGAGGACCCGGACAGACCCACAGAGGGCGTTTCCAAATTGGATTATAGCTTTTGCTCAGGTCCTTTCACCTGCTCTGTGATTGCGCAGCCTGGTGCAGTGGGTCAGATTCAGACCAGAAGGTTCTGATCTCTTCAATTTGGGAAAGGCTCAGAGGCAGCATCGGAAAAGGGAAAATACTAATTCAGTTCATAAGCTACTTATTGAATGGGGAGAAAACCCGCCCTATCCCCAGGAGCTGTCAGAGGAATCCATTTAGTTCTCAAAGTAAAAAGCAATCGAGGTCATAAAAAACGACAGTGAGTGACGCACTGCAGCCTGGCTATAACTGGTGCTCAGGAACCATCGGCTGACCTAAGGGTTATAGGTGTGTGTAGTGCGAGACTACCGTGGGCCAGGGGTTTCCTGGACGATTTCAGGAACATGGGACAGGTGATAGTCCAACAAGGAGGAAAGGGCCAAACTGGCTAATGGGCGCCCTGCTGTTTTCTATACCAAAAAATGAAACAGTGACTGTGGCTGGTGGTAGGGGATGGTGTTTTCTATACCTCAAAATAAAAGTGACTGTGTCTGGGGGTCGGAGGTGGAGTCTAGAGGCGGATTGTGGAGTGTCAATTCAATTCAGCAGATAATTGAAAGTTTGAAAATTATGGAGAAGGATGCAATAAAATCAAGATTGTATTTTGAGCCTAACAACATGGAACCTCTTGGAACAGAGCTGGAGAAAGGGACTCAGATTAGGAGACTAACAGATCCACCCAGGTAGCGGGTGATGAAAGCTTGAATAAATACTAGTGGTGACAATTGTAAAAGAGAACCTGAGAGGTTGTTGGGACTGACAAAGGTTAAGGATATTGGGCTTTGGAGACTGAGAAACTAGAAAAATAATGGTGCTATTTTAATAGAGCTAGAAAACTTGAGGAGAGGTTCTCTATATAGAGAGATATATGAGATAGGGTTATCAGTCTGTTGCCTATGCCAGAATTTGATGGTGTCATGATAGCTAACTCCTAGGTTCAGGTGATCCTCTGCATTAGCCTTTCAAGTGGCTGGGATTATAGGCCCATGCCATCACATCTAACTTATTTTTGTAGTGACAAACATCTTGCTTTGTTACTCAGGCTAGTCTCAAACTCCCTTCTCAGTGTCCAGAGGTGCTATGAGCCGCCCACCACAACGCCCGGCTATTTTTTGGTTGCAGCCATCATTGTTGTTTGGCGGGCCCGGGCTAGATTTGAACCCGCCACCTTAGGTGTATGTGGCTGGTGCCTTAGCCACTTAAACCACAGGTGCCAAGCTGCGAGGTGCTATGATTATAGGTATGAGCCACTGTGCTCAGCTGAGATTGAATGTTATCTCTTTATGTTGAAAGAATTAAGGCACTTCCAAATATAAACAGTCTGTAGGCAGGTAAAGATCTTGGATCTAAGTTAATTCAAAAATTCCACTTAATTCATTAATTCTGCTACATTCCTGGTACCCAAGATGGGAAGCCAGTTATTATGATGGTGCAGCTCATTGGAAACGCTAGTGTTCCTTTCTAGTGGACTTGGGAGTTTTGAAGCTAGATTGAAGACAGATAATGCCTGGCCACTCTATCTACTCAACACTACAGTTATTTCTTGAACTTCTTAGCACAACAGTGAGTGACACCTGAAAAAAAGTAAAACAGGGTTGAAAACTAAATCTTTGGCAAAACACTTAGAATTAAAGAATGAGGTACAAGTGTCACTGATAGAATATTCCAGAAGAATGTGAACCAGAGGCATAATGTCACATATCAAGTAGGACATGATTAAACAAAATAAAAAATGCATTTTCTCAACTTACACAGCTCTTAAGAATTCTTTTTCTCTTTTTTTTTTTTTTTTTTTTTTTTGAGACAGAGCCTCAAGCTGTCCCCCTGGGTAGAGTGCTGTGGCATTACAGCTCACAGCAACCTCCAACTCCTGGGCTCAAGCGAGTCTCCTGCCTCCGCCTCCCAAGTAGCTGGGACCACAGGGGCCCGCCACAACGCCCGGCTATTTTTTGGTTGCAGCCATCATTGTTATTTGGCGGGTCTGGGCTGGGGATTTGAACTCGCCACCTTAGGTGTACGTGGCTGGCGCCTTAGCCGGTTGAGCTATATGCGCCGAGCCAAGAATTCTTTTTCATCTTGTTTTATAATTGTCAGTCTCCTCTTCTAGATAACTACTTAAAGGCAATTATTTTGTCTTGCTCAGTTTTATACCTCCAGGGCCTGTCAGTGTCTAATATGTATTAATCCTAGAGATGTTTGTTAAACATCTATAGAGGACAGAGAAGGAAGGCAGATTTTACAGTTTCTTTCACTGCATAAACAAGCACTAAAAAACCCCATAGCTAATGTGAATGAACTTGCTTCTATAGGTCCAATTAAATGTATGCTATTTTTATGGGACAGATTTCCAGGCAGTATGCCTGTAATGTAAGAAAATGTCTCCAAAGGGACACACAAAAAATTAGTCGGTTCACTTAAAAACAGATGCATTAAGATAGACTTTTAAAAACATGGTTTTCCTCTTCTAAAGCTACTCTATAGAAAAACATGGAAGAGTCATTAAGGTAATGAAAGCTATCAGTAGATTCAGTAGTAACTCACTGAACTGTCCTTTCATTTATAAATATAGGTATGTCAATTTCTTAATAAGCTATGATTCATAAGTTGCTTTGGAATAAGAAATTTTTTCATAGAAATAAGATCAGAGGTAATCAAAGCTTAGGCAGACCAGCCCAAAACATCTACTGAGCCTTTCATGTACCTGAAACATGTTAGAGTTCAATTTTTTTTTAAACTAATCACTATTATTAAAATGGTTTTTTATGGAAAATAAATCTTATTCCGAGTTGGGAAGTTAGGAAAGTATCTTCCTTTTTCCTTGACCCTGTAAATGGGAAAAGGTGCTACCCTTACCACCTGGTGTGTAACAACTCTCACCTACCATCACAGGCCCAGTTAAATTAACAAATTAACATCTGCACTAAACGCCCATGCTCCCTACCCCGGCATCATTCTAGTTTCCAACAAGAAAAAAACAAGGAGGGCAGCTAGAAGGCAGGAAAAAATAAAACAAAAGAAAAGGATGAGGTTCTTCACAGTAGAGACTTGTCCTGGGGAAATGAGGCAAAGATACCACAGCACTAAATTTTATTAGGGATTTCAATAGGGTCAAATTTCCAGGAAAGAGGGAGTCCTGGTTAGCACAAAAGCCCATGAAGCCTCTTCAGATCTCATAGTGAACCACTGGCTCAGGTTCTTTGGTAGGATCACCCCCTCGTTCCAGGTATAAATTATTATAAGGATACTGCTTTGGCCCCTAAGGGAAAAAAACACAGGTCAGCAAGAACAACATACATCCAGCCAATACCTGGTTACACCCCACTCTGAGTTAACAGTCGTGCACGGTAAATAGGTATGAAGTAGCCTCTGGTCATACCCAGCTGGGCTAGAATGTCAGGAACAGCTCTTTTCCCTGCTTAGCCTAAGGCAGAAAGCAAGCCTAAATTGTAACAGAAGTGGTGCCTACACTATGAGTGAGAGAGGAAAAGAGGGGAAGGAAAGGAGGGAAGGAGAGTAGAAAGAGTCAGAGGCAATGCTTTCTAAATGAGTTGATCTCGATATCTACCTACCTATCTCTCTCTCTCTCTCTGTCGAGCCAGACCCAATCTCCTTTAAGTCACTCAGCCTTCTAATGGTTCCACCACTAAAGTGGCCTAGCAAATGAGGCGTGCAGGAGCAGTGGTGGGGGAAAGCACAGAAGAGACATGGCTGAGACGTGCTTTAGAGGCTGCTGCTTTTACCAACAAACAGCTGTCAGAGAACACAGCTCAAGGGGAGGAAAAAAGGAGATGTGCTTACAGAACTGAAAAATGGAAGAGTCATACTGTGTTTCTTGCTCTCCTGAAGTGAAGTTAGTGTTCACCCCAGCCCCATGTGCCTTCTCCAGCATGGAGCCCTTGGGGCCTGGTAGGAAGGCTCGTGTCAGTGCACACAGACATACCAGCTACCTTCAGGACATCGATTATCTCTGCAGAGGTAGCTGGGCAGCCAACTGCAAACAAAGCAGCCTCCCTGCTTTTAATTCCTCTCCTTCCAATCCATCCTGTAGACTACTCCCAGATTAATCTTAAGAATCCATCCTTTATTATCTCACTTTTCTATTCAAAAACTCAAAATGGGGGGAGGCAGTAGGGTGGGAGGGGTAAAGGAGGAAAAAAAACCCAAATGGCCCCCTGCTACCTAGAGGCACACCAAGTCATCGCTATATCCCCAACCCCTAGCACAGTATGCACCTGGTAGGTAGTAGGGGCTCCATAAATATTTGTTAACTTAGTGCATTACCCATCAAATCCAAATCCCTTAGCAATGCAATATTAACTGCCTAACTGATCAACTCACCTCATAATGTTTTCTAACACAATGCGTTACAAATCCATATGCACATCAGAATTTACCTGGGAGCTTATTAAACATGCTGATTCTAGAATTCTACTGTGATGCTACTGAATTAGAATTGCCAGGAAGTGGGGCCTGAGAATATGAATATACACTAGCTCTCCAGGAAACCAATGGAACTCTTTCATAAACTTATCCCACTCCAGCTACTCACAATTCTTTTTCCCTTTTATTGTTTCCTCTTGCCTGAAATGTTTTCTCTGACTTTTCCTACCACTCAAATCCTATTTTTTGAGTATATAGGTAATCCTCCTTGAGAAAAGCTCATACCACTTAGCACATTATACATATACACACACCCAAACTGTACCAAACTTCCATGTGTCTGTTCCAATGTTGCTCATATCATTTATCTAAATTTTCTTAACTAATCTTCCAGAGAATATATTTACTATGTTCTTTACACTCTCTAAAATATAACCGTCTGAAGCATGATCAGGCCACTTCACTCCAGCCTAGATGACAGAGCTAGACCCTATCTCTAAATAAATGAATGAATAATCATCTGTGCTTTTCTAGACACTTAATTGCTTCTGGTATACCACAGGAAGTACCCTTCATGTATCTAACAAAGGATAAAGTGTCACCTTAAGATTCCCTGACTCTACCTTAATAAATACCACTTGCTGAAACACCATGGGTAAGTACAATTCCCAAATGGCAACTCTGGAGAATAAATGACTTTCACATTCTCATTCCTCATCAAGTTCTAAAGTGTATCTTCCCACTCAGATGGGTTCTAGAAGTAAGGGTAGAGCAGTGTTCCAGTACTTGTGCCAGGCCAATGGGTAAGGCCCTCCTATCTTCCAAATCTCCTAAGACTCCAGAAACCGTGCGTCATAGTGACTGAATCTCTACTCCAGGGACTTCTATTCCCTCAGGAAACAGGGCTAAGCAAATGTGCCTAAGAGAGCACTTCTCAAATACTCACCACAGGTTGGTAGGTGGGGTACATCTCCCCAACCCAGAACATGAAAACCATGAAGGCCACAAAGCCGAAGAGTTGCTTACACATGACATTCCAAGAAACAGGTGTGGGTGACGTGTCCACACGGTTCCTGATATACATGTCTAGGTCCCAGTGTATCTGAGGCAGAAAGACAAGTAATGTCACTTTCTGGAAAATGTAGGTAGTCCAGAATGATCAGAGCCTGATACAAGGCTTGATAGAAGCATTCTACTGCTCTAGGGCAATATTCTGAAGCCATGTCTGAGACACACCCACACACAGGACTAGATGCTGGCCTCTGTCTAGGTTCTGTTGACCATGGACAGCTCAGTCATGGAAGTCCACAACTTTCACAGCATAGAGGTTTGATTATTTCCAGAAGTCCCATCACATGTGTCACACATGGAACCTCAGATCTCAGATCACTGGACCTTGTTTCCTTTCACAGAAAAGTTCAGTGTTTCTTGGACAGAAAAGTGTCATTTTGTCTAAAGAAAGAATTCCCAGGAAGAAGGAAGAAACATCAAATGGAATATGGTTCTCTCACCGGTTCACCCCAGTTCAACCTCAGGTCTGAGTGGTCCCAGTCATACCATGGATCCCTCTCGTGCTGTGAACGGTTAGGGAGCTTTGGATAGTCACCATACCTGAGAAACAGAGAGGCTGTGAGCAGTCTCAAGACAATTCAGAGGTTCTTCATCTCAAAAATGAGAAACAAAGTGACAGAGATTAACTGTCTCATGTGAAGACATAGGAACTGACTGTCAAATCAAGATCTCAAGTTCCAGTCACTAAGCCCAGAACCATAGAATTCCAAATTGTAATTAAAAGTTTACATCAGGACGACACCTGTGGCTCAGTGAGTCAGGCACTGGCTCCATATACCGAGGGTAACGGGTTCGAACCAGGCTGGGTTCTATCCCAGCCAAACTGCAACAAAAAAATAGCTGGGCATTGTGGCAGGAGCCTGTGGTCTCACCTACTCAGAAGGCTGAGGCAAGAGAATCACCTAAGCCCAAGAGCTTGAGGTTGCTGTGAGCTGTGACACCACAGCACTCTACTGAGGATGACAAAGTGAGACTCTGTCTCTAAAAAAATAAAAATAAAAATAGCAAATAAAAGTTCACGTCAAACTCTGAAACAGTATAACGTACATAAGCTTTCCTTATCTTCTTTCTAAAAACATAGGAAAAGTCACACATACTGTTGAAAGGAAATTTGGCAATTCATTACAATTATGTGCTGCAAAACATTTTGGTCAACAACGGACCTAGACAGTAGCAGTCCCATAACATTATAATGGAGCTACCCTATACAGGTGCCGAATGCCGACAGGGGAAGCTAGTAGTAAAGAATAGCCTTCACCATTTTTTAATCTTTTATACTGTATTTTTACTTTATCTTTTCTATGTTTATAGAGTTTATATACACAAATACTATTGTGTTACAATTGTCCACTTTATTCAGAACAGTAACATGCTGTAGGCTGGTAGGAAGAATAGCTGTTGGATAGAGGTTGTGCAAGGCTGTATGTAGCTGTAGCCTAGGAGCAAAAGCCTAAGTAAGTAGTAGGGTACACCATCCAGGTTCACATAGTACACTCTATGATGTTTACACAATGACAAAATCCCCTGAAAATGTATTTCTCAGAAAGTATCCCTGTTGTTAGTTAACACGACTGCTCTCTGATTCCCTCATTAGATAGAAAATAAAATTAAAGTTTAGAATCTGAATCCAAAGTTACCCAGCTAATTGGACTAAAAACAATAAGGGTACAGAGTAGAAAAGCATTCTTTTCTTTTTTTCTGTTTGTTAGCAGTTTGGCAGGGGGCCGGTTCGAACCCACCACCCTCGGTATATAGGGCCGGCGCCCTACCCACAGGCATCACCCAGAAAAGCATTCTTTCCTTAACCAGACTTGACATTCATCTCCATGTCTTGTCTTAAATACCTCATGAGACTTCTTAATAAGCTGAATCCTTCCCCCGTCCCCGCAAAAAGTCCAAGTTCATCTTATACAGACTGAGACCAAGGCTGCTCTTGTGCATAACACAATAAAAAGCACAGAAAATGATGACAAATAGATGTGTGTCACAGAAAATGAACAGAAAACAAGGAAGAATAGGAGCTGCTGAAAAGAAGATTCAAAGAGTGAAGCTAGGCCAGGAAATGAAGGTGATGATAATCACTTCAGGTAATTAACTTATAGGGATGTTACCTAGACAGAGAGGCGAGTGGAAGAGATAACATCAAGTAAGAGGCTGGCTGTTTAATCTACCTAACAGTGCTATGATTTCCACAGCCCTAACAGCGAAAAATATGTTTTTAAAGGAGACACGCAAAAGTATAGCGTACTCCATTTACAAATAAGGTTCTCATGACAGGAGTCCAGCTCCAGCCTGGTCACATGGCTGGATGACAGCACTAGAGCCCAGCAGATGCTCAATTTAAATGAAACCGAAATCTCTAGATAAAACCAGGGAAGGTTCCTGCTATTGAGGGTGGGGGTGGAGGAGCGGTCCTCGAGGGAGACATTAAAACCTCGGCTTCCTCGTTTGAGGAAACAACCTGAGCCAAGGAGAAAATTGAAGTCCTCTCAGCTGCAGCTGCTCACCACTCCCCACCCCCCCCCGCCCCACTTCCCTCCACCGAGAAAAGCACCCACACCACTGACTCTGATAGGTCACGAGAAGGTTCAGGAGAAAGAATCCAGCCCAGCCACCTAGCCCAGCCGACTTCTTCCCACCGCTACTTGGGTGCAAGCAGATCCTTTCATCTCACCCCATGCCATCGTCTGGGTAAGGCTCGTAGTCTTCTACACGCATATTATACTTCTTGGCGGCGGCGGCCCGTTCTTCTGGCGTCCTAGGATAGGCCCCCGGGAGCATATCCTTCGTCATGTGGGAGGCTGGATTGTAGAAGAAGGCAGGTCATACCTTCTCCCACCGCTCTAAAGGCTTCAAGCTGTAGTGGCTGCAGAGGCTAGAGCCCGGGACTTGGTTTCACCCGTGCGACCCTCCACCCTGGCTGTCTAAACCAACTCCGCCTCCGCTCCTACCAGGAAACAGCCACTCCGGCATTCATGATCCCTGCTCCCGACCCACCAAACCTCAGGCATCCCCTTCCCACACTGAGGCCTCGCCCGTTCTTGCGGACCTGTCCGTGCACCTAACGGCCCCACGTTCCGGGCTGCTCTTTGCAGCCATCGTACTCCCAGGACTCTCAGGACCCCCGTCCTGGCCGCCGCCATCTTCACCTTCTTCACGGTTCCCGCTGCGCGTGCGCAAAGCTCTATTACGGCGGCTGAGGCGGGCCAAACGCGCTTGGGGAATCCGGTCGTGACGAAAAGTCTTCAGCGCTGGGGCGGGCTTTGAAAATGGAGCTGGGGAGCCAGTAGGAAAATGAGCTGTTGGATAGAGGTTGTATGAGAGTTAGCGGGCAGGCGAGAAAACCATGCAGGTCGCTTCTTGACATTTCAGCTTGTTGCGTCCATTTTCTCCCTCCGCTCACTGAGACCTATTCAGGTAGAAAGGGGACTCGGAACCTGAGCATATCAGGTAGACAGCGGATTCACCTCCCCTAGGAGCAGTGCTAGTAAAATGAGTCTGTTTTACTTATTGTCTTCTTTCTGGCAGCTTTTCGTTTCCCCTTCCATCCCCAAACGTAATCATTCTTTAAATTCGGCCCTGGGGCTTCTCGTTCTGGTCTCTAACCTGGTTGATCTTCACTTAGATGCTTGATGCAACACACAAATCGGCCCCGAACTGGCTTCTCAGTCTCAGTCCGTGTTTACATCTGCATGTCTCACTCACCTCTACCCAGCACATGTAAAATTAAGCCTGTCAACTGAGGCAGCTCTCTAGAGACAGCCTAAAAACTCAGATTTGCTAGGACTTGGGTAAATAGATTTCAAACTGGCCTAGAATTAATAAACTTTAACTCTACAGAGGAATGGGAGACATATTTGCATATGAATATGTTTTCACTTGAGATCTGAATAACTTATGCATCATAAATATGTATATATTTCCAGTGACTTTTGGGATGATCACTGTTTTGGAGCAAAATCTATTATTATAGACATTCTCAAATATGTATTACAGCAATAAAAATGGATACATACTATTTAGTATACATATTTTGGGGAGGACAACACAGCAAGAGCGCACTTGCCCTTTTGTAAATGAGCACCACTAGGTGTTGTTCCGAATAACTGAACATCTACATTCAACCAAAAGCAAGCCCTGATCTAATTTAGGTAAAGAAACGGTCTAATTTGTTTATTTTTATTAAGACAGTATAAACATATTGTAAAATACACCCCTTAAGGTGTACAACAAAGTGATTTCTAGTATATTTACAAAGTTTTGCAACCATCACCACTAATTCTAAAACACCTTTATCACCCCCATAAAACACCTCATACCCACTAGCACTTTTCCCCTACTTCCACCCCCTGGCAACTACTAATCTACTTTCTGTCTCTATGAATTTGCCTATTCTAGATATTTTATATTAATGGAATTATACAATTTGTAGCCTTTTGTGTCTTTCTCTCAGCATAATATTTTCAAGGTTTGCCTGTGTTGCAGCACAGGCTGTACTTCAAACACATAGGCAAGCATCCAAGTGAGATTCAGTATGGAAAATAAGAGTTCCAACCCCCAGCCCTCAGTTTCTCATATGAGAAATCCAAGTCTATCTATAAATTTAATTTTCTTAAGTCTGAGTTGTACATTAGATAAAGATTTCTTTTTTTTTTTTGAGACAGAGCCTCAAGCTGTCCCCCTGGGCAGAGTGCCGTGGCATTACAGCTCACAGCAACCTCCAACTCCTGGGCTCAAGCGAGTCTCCTGCCTCCGCCTCCCAAGTAGCTGGGACCACAGGCGCCACAACGCCCGGCTATTTTTTGGTTGCAGCCGTCATTGTTGTTTTGGCGGGTCCGGGCTGGGGATTCGAACCCGCCACCTTAGGTGTATGTGGCTGGCATCTTAGCCGCTTGAGCTATAGGCGCCAAGCCTAGATAAAGATTTCCAATCAGTACTTTATTCCTTTAATATGATTGAGGAATATTTTATTATATTCATATATAGTACATCATTTATTTATCACTTAATGGGAATTAGAGTTATTTCCACTTTCTGGCTATTATGAATAATGCTGCTATGAATATTTTTGCATAAGTTTTTTGTGTGGATATATGTTTTCTACTAGTATATACCCAGGCGTAGGATTGTCAGGTCCTAGGGCAACTCTATGTTTAACTTTTTGAAGAACTGCTGGATTGTTTTTCAAAGCAGCCGCACCATTTTACCTCCACCAGTAGTGTAGGAGGTTCCCAATTTCTCTACATCCTCATCAACACTGTGTTTTGTTTTGTTTTTTGTCTTTTGTTTTTGAGACAGAGTTTCACTTTGTTGCCATGGGTAGAGTGCCCTGGCGACTTCCAACTCTTGGGCTCAAGCAATTCTCTTGCCTCAGCCTCCTGAGTCGCCGGAACTATGAAACTATAGGTGCCACACACCTGGCTATTTTTATTTTTATTTTTATTTTTGAGACAGAGCCTCAAGCTATCCCCCTGGGTAGAGTGCTGTGGCATCATAGCTCACAGCAACCTCCAACTCCTGAGCTCAAGTGAGTCTCCTGCCTCGGCCTCCCAAGTAGCTGGGACCATAGGCGCCCACCACAATGCCCGACTATTTTTTGGTTGCAGCCGTCATTGTTGTTTTTGGCAGGCCCAGGCTGGATTCAAACCCGCCACCTTAGGTGTATGTGGCTGGCACCTTAGCCACTTGAGCCACAGGTGCTGAGCCACACCTGGCTATTTTTAGAGATAGGGTCTCGCTCTTACTCAGGCTGGTCTCAAATCTGTGAGCTCAGGCAATCCACCCATCTTGGCCTCCCAGAGTGCTAGAATTACAGGTGTGAGCCACCGCTTCCAGCCTGGACTGTCTTTTTGATTATAGCAATGCTAGTAGGTGTGAATAATATCTCATTGTGGTTTTCATTTGCATTACTGTAATGACTAATGATATTGAGCATCTTTTCATGTGCTTATTCATCACGGTATAACTTCTTTCACAAGATGTCTATTCAAATCCTTGGTTCATTTTAAATTGGGTTGTCTTTATTGCTGAGTTGTAAGGGTTCTTTATGTATTCTAGATATAATTCCCTTATCAGACATATGATTTGTAGATATTTTTTCTCATTCTATGAGTTGTCTTTTTTCTTTCTAGATGGTATCCATTGGAACCCCATTTTTTAATTATGAAAAAGGTATTAGAATTTGTCAAAAGCTTTTTCTGTATATATTGAGATGATCATTTTTTTCTTTTACTAATATGGTATATTATATTGATTGATTTTCAGATTTTGAACTAACCTTGCCTTCCTGGAATAAATGCTACTTGATCATGGTATGTAATCCTTTTTATATGGTGCTAGATTTGGTTTCCTGGTATTTTGTTGAGTTTCTGCATATATGAATATATTCCCAAGGCAAATTAGTCTGTGGTTTTTTGTGATGTCTTTGTCTTGTTTTCATATCAGGGTAATGCTGGCCTCATAAAATGAATTAAGGAGTGTTCCCTCCTCCTCTTACTTTTGGAAGTTTATCAAAGGATTAGTGATGATTCTTTTTTAAATGTCTGATAGGATTCACCAATTAATATGTCTGGTCTTGGTGTAACTGGTGCACCAGAACCAGGAACATGAGCCAAACGTGTATGTGTTAAATTTGTCTTTTATTACCAACATTCAGAATGCCAGGAAGACAGGGAGATCATTTTCACAGCCTGCCTTACTTTGAGAGACCATCATAGTGTTCTTATACCCTTCCCCAAAGGTATTATTTTTATTTTTTTATTTTTTTGAGACAGAGCCTCAAGCTGTCCCCCTGGGTAGAGTGCTGCGGCATCACAGCTCACAGCAACCTCCAACTCCTAGGCAAGTCTCCTGCCTCAGCCTCCCAAGCCTCCCAAGTAGCTGGGACCACAGGCACCCACCACAACGCCCAGCTATTTTTTGGTTGCAGCCATCATTGTTGTTTGGCAGGCCGGGCTAGATTCGAACCTACCACCTTAGGTATATGTGGCTGGCGCCTTAGCCACTTGAGCCACAGGCGCCGAGCCAAGGTATTATTTTTAGTTATACATCATCTAGCCCTCTAATTTCTAGCTGAAGAACTCTTTACCAAAAATCTATACATGTTACATCGGTTGTTTTTTCATCCCAGGGTTGTGATGATCTTCACAGTGTCAGGACCAGGGGAGGACTAGCTGACGTGACTGTCTTATAACCAGTTAGATCAATAAGTAACTTTTATAGCTAAGGATAGGTGATTAAGGCTGTTTCTCTTCTTACATTTCCTACTCTTACTTGTAAATTTCATATTTATGAGATTTTTTTCAGATTAAAATATTTCTGTTGATTATAAATTTTGTGTTAAGTCAGTATGACATATGACCACATCTGTCTGTCCATATTAGAAAGTTCCTGGAACATGGATTTCTCTATTTTCAGGCAACCCACCTATAAGGTCTTGATTAGCCCCATTCCCATGACAATTTGGCATGACAACTCAGGCGTGCTTGACTTAAGGTAGTCTAGAATAGTCTAAAATAGCCTGACTACATCCGCTACCTGCTCTTTTCAAGTCTAACTAACTGCCTAACCTAACATTTCTTCCTCTGATTTGTAGACCCCAATTCTTTGGGAAATGGGCTATTAACCACTTTTGTTTCCTGCTGAAATTCAGGCAGCATGAGTAGTGGGCTCTGCAATCAGCTCTCTGTCAGGGTGAGAGTGGATATCCATCCAGAGGGCCACTGTAAATGGGGCGCAGTTGCTCGTAAGTGTGGACATTTTCATACAGATGAGCGTGTGGTTGCTGTTGTAAATGTTGATACCTGGCGGTGATTAGCATCTGTAAGTGGGTAGCTTCTAGGCAGGCAGACATAAGTTTTGTTGTGTAGTTGAAAATATAGGAGACAAAAATTAGAATTGGTCAATGTTTGGTGCCCCTTCCCTGACCACCTTTCAGTAAAAACAGATGGGAAGAAACTAAATCTTAGAATATAATGTAAATTAAAAGAAGCTATTTGCTAAGAAAGTTAAAATTTTTGGCTCAAGTGGCTAAGGCACCAGCCACATACACCAGAGCTGGCTGGTTCAAATCCAGCCTGGGCCTGCAAACAACAATGATAACTACAACCAAAAAATAGCCAGGCGTTGTGGTGGGCACCTATAGTCCCAGCTACTTGGGAGACTGAGGCAAGAGAATCGCTTAAGCCCAGGAGTTGGAGGTTGCTGAGATGTGATGCCGCAGCCCTCTACCCAGGGCAACAGCTTGAGGCTCTGTTTCAAAAATATAAAAAAAAAAGAAAAGAAAAAGAAAGTTAAAAAATTTCACTCATAGTGTCAGGCAGTTGGAAAAATGGCTGGTGTTTTAAAGAGTAAAGGAAGCCCCCCCCTTTTTTTCCATTTCAAATGAACAACTGGTTGTTTATATTGTTTTTAGGACTTACTCTCCAATGTCTTTGAATTTTCTCAAAACCCATAATTTAGGGACCACAGTTGTTTTAGCAGGCAAAAAGATAGAGATAGTTTAATAAACTCTGTACTTTAATGTTGTAGTGGCAGATTGATCCTTTGAGTTTTGAACTTTTGATGCACTTACCCATTAATTTAAACACACATGCGCAAGAACAGAAATTTAAGAGGCTTTAAACTTATTATAAACTGAGAACAGAAAACTTTGTTGTTTTAACTAGAGAATCTCCTTTTGTTATAGCCAACTTAATCAAACTTTTTAAAATGTTCTTTTACAAATCTTTATGATTTACATGGACCACCTTCAAAGTGTTTAACCCCTCTGATTTGTCCTAATTTTTTTTAACCACCAGCTATAACCACCTAGTTATATTTTAGGATACAAGAAATTTTTATATAAAATTCTTTTCTTTTTTTTTCTTACCAAAAATTCATTTTTATACCCAGGTCTTTTTATACATTTTGCTCTCCTCTATTTACTGGTTCCTTTTATTATAACTCCAAGCCTAGGAAAAGGGAAAAAGAAAGTTAAGGTTTTTCAAGAGTCCGAGAGAGAAACTGTGTGAAGTTAAAGGGAGATAGGTGTTAAATTTAACTTTAAGATTTCATTCATAATGAGGTAGGGCAATTGGACTTGATCCCCTAGTGGGCAGAGAAGCTGTGAATACACAGGTGGGTTGTATTTTACCTTCCACTCTGGTGATGGGGATAGGAGAGGGAAATAGAGTTCTCAAAAATTCAGGGAAAGCAGAGGAAGTGGTTTTGGTGTTATTAAAATCAGTTTGTTTACCTGTAACAGAAAGTGAGTTACCTGAGGCTCAGCCATCCTAGCATGATGGAGTTGAATGTGTTCTGAGGCTGGGTCTGTCTGTACATGGGACTGAAATAGTCCTGCAGGGTTCGTGAGTGTGGAGGATGCTAGCTTGTGTTAGGGGGCAGAGCTCCACCAGATCCACCTGCCATAAGCTCGGCTCCCTAGGGTATTTTTTCCAGAGAACCAGTTAACTGCAGAGCAAGGTGCAGCACCCA